TAGGTTACATCAGCTTCGCCATGGCAGCTCCCATCAGGCAGGACGGCACACACCTGGACCACAGCTTCATTGATTCTCCTGGGAATGTGGAACATCAGACTCTCATTGGTCTCACATCCACCAGAAAGCTGACAGAACCACTGCTGCTTCTCTGAGGTCCCACCTGGATGGATTCACTGTAAACCAGCTTGGAGATGTTCTTCAGGTCCAGAATCTCACAATAACCACAGCGTTTGTTTCCAGTCACTCCACAGCTGATCAATGTGTCATTTTTCTCAAATGGTAAAAAAACATTCACTTTGAAAGCTGCATTCCAGGTCTTCATGGGGTTTCTGTAAAATTCCTCTTCATCCAGTTGGTCCCCACTCTTTAAGGTCCCTCTCTGGGTCAGGCTGTAGATCAGAGTCAGGTCATGGCTCAGCTGGTAAAGTTTCTCCTCTGTAGCGATGTAGACAGAGCTGTTGCCCACAGCGAGCTGACGGAGGTCACCTTCAAAGTTAAAATCTCTGTTCTCCTCCAGACACTGAGCAGGTTCTCCCCAGATGGAGCAAAGCAGACCGAGCAGAAAATAGATCATCTTGTACCAAAGGATGCAGCTCTGAGATCTTCTGGTTGACACTGTGGTCTCTGTGCTTACAAAGATGTGTCTAAAAGTGCTGCAGCTTTGCTGAAAGGCACTGAGAGCGGAAGGAAATGAACGCACACCATGGGTTCAGGTACTGACCCATTCATGACTGAGTTTTCATACAATTACATTTGTGTCTTTAAGTCAAGAGCATCAAGAAAACAAAACACGGACATGTGTGCAGTCAGCTTCAAGTCATATCAAATACAGCAACTGAAATAGCTTTGTTTAAGCATAAGGATGGCGTTTTGCTCATAGAGAGCATGCAAAAATCAACCAACCCAAGACTAGTACCCTGTGGAACAAACACAATTTGAATTTTTTTAAGTCTTGTGTTTTGTTCCTATAATATTTACCTCTAACAAAATAACATGATCAAATTTGTGGTTGTTCTTTGGCTTAGCAAGACAAGGTACATATTTACAACACTTTAGCCAAGATGCTAAAGATGAAAATTAGCCTGACTGCAAAGTGATCTAACAAACCAGGAGCAATTGAACACTTTCCTCAAGGAGTGACGATGATAAAGTAGAAACATAAGTTAAACGCTATCCTGGGTCTTTTTACATCTGAATACCTTCAACAGATTTATTTTCTGTTTCATCTGACAGTTTCTTTGTCTGTGAGTTTCTTTGACCCAGTGTTATCTCTATCTTCTGCGGCACCTAAAAAAAGAAAAAAGAAAAAAAAACAGCACATAGCCTCCTGAAATATCTCTGCGTTGGTTCCGGTTTAGATGTCAAGAAAAATACCTGCAAAAGATGCATGATTTTCTGAGAACTACTTCAGAAAGTCATGCAGGATTTAACTATTTGTCACACCATTGATTCAACCTCAAATCACAATTGTGACAGATATGTCTTTACGTTAGATGAGCCTATTTGTCAAATTTTTTCTAGATTAGCATTAGACATTATAAAACATGCTTATTAAAGTTTGGATTTTACATGCATATTAAATTCAAACAAGGCTGATAGTAAACAACTTGAAGTGCACGGATTAAAAAATATGTGGAATTAGATCCGGTGCCAGAATTCAAGAGATCTTTGCCATCTGTAAAATTAAGCTCATAAGAACATATTACGCAGAATGATGTTCTGATACAGATGCATGCATCAACTCTGCATTAATGTGTGGCAAAGGCTGATTACAGGTGGTAAACTCAGGAAGTTGAGAAATGAGTCAGGAAATTAGTGCTCAAAATAAAACAAGATGTTGTATTAAACTAATAAAGCCAGATACACAACGGTGAAACACTCAACAATCAGAGCTGCATATAACACACTCAATTCATGGAGCATAGTAGCCTAAGAGTTAACAATAGCTGGCCTCTCCTGTGACACAAACTATCAATGCAGCAAATCTATCAAAAGGAGGATGGAAACCCTCAGGGATGTGTGCTCAGTCCTGAGCTTTTTCCTCTGCTGGCACATGACTCGCCTGTTAAACTGATCACTTTAAGGTCATTACACGTGCTGATGAGCAAATAGATCTCTGATCCGGAGTGATCCCAAGTTATTTATATATACCTAGTGATTTGTTTTGTCTGTTATTTCAAATGAAAGCGATGACATCTGCTTCTTCAGAAGTCTTTGGCTTCCTTTCCAAAGTACTAAAACTGTGCAGATACATTAAAAACTGGCCCAGACGTGAGATCTGTTCCGTAGTTCACTGAGAACAAGTTGTGCTCATCATGGCGTGTAACGAAACATGAGAGCTCACCACATTCTGGCTCCTGTTTGTGATGTGGTGAGCCGAACAGCAGCAGTTACAGCTTATCTATCACATCGGTGAGTGCCGATGTGGCCACGATGTCCTTACACCAAAGCCAAAACCTCATCGTGCTCTCGCTGGGTGACAAGACTCTAATTTGTTAGAAATCCACTGGTTCTTCAGCTGCTATCCATCCATTCATTGCCTTTGTCAGCTCACCATTGCTGATACAGGCAGGAAAGATTTATAAAAGAACATTTGCAATGAAAAGAAAAACCTGGAGGCAGTTCTGGGATGGGAAGCCAGTCATGCCCATGCCATTCGTATCACAAATTGCCAGTGCAAACTGACAACTATTACCTCTTCAGCACATTTGTTAAGCATAATTTTTGTTGTTCGTAAGAAGGCAGTCATATGACACCAGAGGCAAACAAAACAAGAACTGAGTAAACATCCCTGAGGTCTCCCATTAACAGATCATTACTTAGGAGAGGCCAGCTCTCCACTTTGTTGCCTAAACTGAGGAAAACATTCCCAATTATTGGAGTTCTTTAATGCTCTGGTGTCTATTAGAAGGAATCTATGGTTTTCCAGTATCCTGGGTGGTGAAAATCTGTCGATTAACGTCATCATCTAGTAATACTTACTTCACTCATCAAGTGGACAACACAGCCAGAGTACAAATCTATATCAGTGGGAACATCCTGCAGAGTAGCAAGTTCTGTGCACACAGATGCACAGATGTACTAAAGATGTCATGGATGATACAAATTCTATTTCCACCCATGAAAAATACTTATTTGTGTCGATGGATTTTGTATTGTTTAAAATAGCACTGCTAGAACGGACCGTTTGAACTTGTATCATGCTAATACAAGTTTGAGCTTGTATTAGCATGAGCTTTATGATATATTGTAATAAGCTCAAAAATTCCACAGACGAAATGATCAAATGGGAGCCAATGTATATATAAAGCATATGTGTATGTCTATGTTGCAACATCTACATATGCAACACAGCAGCAACATAGACCAACAACATATACACATATGACGTCTACTTATTTTTGAGACAAATGGAACCCCATACATATGCAACATCCACATATGCGATATCAACATAAAACATTGGGACCATATGCATCAACCAAAGACACATAGCAACAACATAGACCAACAAAATTTACACATACTATTTTTGACACAAATGGAACCCCATACTAATGGTGTTTTTCTAAAAATGTACCTTACAATTGTTAAAAAGAAAAGTGCTAAACAAGTTGACTAAATGGCACCAGTATTGATACATTTGTGCAACTTTCTTAAGAACTGCAGTCATGAAAAAATGTGTATGCAGTTTTTGACTAAACATCTAGAATGTGGTTAAAACCACTGACATTTCAGAGATCTATGTAAAAAATCTGTAGTCACCACAGAAGTTGGTATGAACGTTGGTTTGCAGAGTTTCTCAGAGACTTCTTGATGAAAGAGAAAATTTAAGAAAGCATTTTTATAACTCGAGTGCTCCAGCTCTTGCTCAGACATTAGTCCTCTAAACCTGGAGATGATCTTCAGGTGATTAAAGGCTGACTTTATGTGACTCTGAAGTAAAGTGAAACCCTGCAGTGTACCACAGTAAAATACAAATCTATCTGAGAGATGTTGAAAAGTGATGTGACAATTTCAGCTGGAGCCAAAATGAGTTATGATTCAACATGTGCAATATTCACAACGGGCCATATTTTCACCTATGTATTTTACAGATCCCACTAAGAACAATGGCATCATGAGCTCACAGGGGCTTCTACATTAGTAGAAGTGTTTTATGGCAAAAAGGGGATAAACAAAAATAAATTATAGTAAAATAAAGTGACAGAATTAGAAGTTTATATTTTCTATTTAAGTACAAGGAGAGTTACGATTCTTTAATAATTTTATTTAATTTTGACATTATGAGAAAATCTGTTTTTGACTGACAAATTGGATGAAACTTTAAATATGTTTCTCTGCATCCCTCAAGAAAAATCAAAAGAAAATTTCAAATGTCCAGGGACAAAACAAAACAGTTGTTGTTCCAGATTTTGAATTAATTTTAATAATGATAATAAAAAAAAAACTTACATTTTTGACTTTACAATCCAATTAAATCTGTTCAGTTAAATCACAAGGAGCAGAAACAGAGTGAGCATACACAAATACATCTGTTAAAAAGGTCGAACAGTGAAGCTTTTAGATGAATTTTCCTTCAATATTCTTTGAACAGGACTTTGGCTGAAACGTAACAAGAGAAGATGACGTGAAGGTGAGTTCCCGCCCTCTTGTTTCTAACACAGTCGCAGCACTTTTACCCACATTTCTGCACAGACACAAGAATCAAACCCACCTGCAGCCTGTCCTCACTCCAGAGCCGCTTCCTTTAGAACAAGATGATCCTGCTGCTCTGTCTGCTTCACTTGATCTGTGGAGAATCTGCTTTGAATCTGGAGGAGCAAACGTTCAAAGTTGAAGAGGAAATTCAACAGGTGGTTGTGGCTAACAACATTCTTTATGTCGCTACTTCAAAGACACTCTATCGGTGGGTCAACATGAAGATGACCCCTGTGACGGCTCAGCTTCCCTCAAATTTTAGCATTAACATGTTCTTATTTGAGAAGAACAACAGATTGATGAGCTGTGGTGTGAATGAAAAACGAAACTGTCACTGTGAGATTCTGGACCTGAAGAACATCTCCAAGCTGGTTTACAGTGAATCCATCCAGGTGGGACCTCAGAGAAGCAGCAGTGGTTCTGTCAGCTTTCTGGTGGATGTGAAGGAGGATTCAGGTCAGACTGAGACTTACATCCTGACAGCGATAAAGAACCCTAGACTCAAGACAGACTGTAGCGCTGATTTAAAGACAATCAACCTTCACAACACATATCACAGGCAGAATGGAGGATTATTTTCTGGACTTGATCAGTCAGGCAGCAGTTCACCTGGGATTCAAACTGAAGCTGCAGTAGAGTTTGTGGACGGATTCCAGATCAACTCAACAGTGTATCTGTTCTCCAACGTGGCATCAGGAGGTAAAAGCAACAAAGTCCGTCTGATCTGGCTTCAGGCTGAAACCAGTAAAACTCAGACTCTGGAGTCTCTTCATGGAGCGACTCTCAGTTCCTCTGGAGGTGAAGACAGCAGACTGCTGGCGTCCTCGGGTCCCAGGTGGACAGCAGGTCCTGTGGAGTGGAGTGTTCAGTGTGGACGGAGGAGGAAGCAACACTGAGCTGCTGCTGTTTGACATCAGTCCTGATCTCAACAGGGAGATGAATAAAGATCCAGACTTTTATTCATCGGTGAACAAGCCAAACAACCCGGTGAGTTGCTGTAAAAGCTGCGCAGCATCACATATTTATTCCAATTCAATTTTTTGTGGTAGTTAAACATTTCAAATTTTTAATCACTTACGTTATTAAACAACTACAAATCACGTAGGTATTACATATTTGTACGTTTATACAAGCCAGCATAAAGCAGTTTTTATTTTGAATTAAAATGACAAAATTTTAATTTAATTAAAACCACCGCGATTTTGTGTTTTCAACATTAGAAGAGTGTTGACAAAGATTTGTGCCCATTTGCCACCAAAGAATATTTCTAATCTATTCTAATCCCAGTTCTGTATAAATACCAACCCAGTAAGAATAGGTTGTAAAATACTAAACGAAGACAGAAAGGCTCTCACATACTTCATTCAAAGTGGAAAAATTCGCTCTCATTGACATACTCCACTGAGGAAAATTGTGTCACTTTGTTCACAGTGAGGCATCTGCCTGCCGAACTCGACACCAGCCAGGGCGAATAATTGTGATTGGTCAGAAATTTACTACCAATTTGAATAAGAAAATATACTTGGACAGCAATGTTGATGTTTTGCTTCAACTCGTCCACTTCCACCAACTGGTTTTGTATCTGCAGGAGACATAAATACTTTTGAGGAATATTTATCTGATGCAATGAGGAATTATGTCCATTTGGATGGTTCTTCACTAAATAACTACTATTATAATAAGTCTGGAACACACACAACTTGCATTCAGCCCCGTTAATAAAGTCTATAAGGAAAACTTTTGTTTCTTGAGAAGTATTTGTCTGTAAAACGGAGTTAAAATGTCTCTAATAGGGTCATTAAAAAATAATTGTATGTTTATTTTTGTCAGATGGTGATGACAAAGTTCTGGGTCAAGTCCATTAAAACTTTTATTTTCAAAAAAATGTTGCAATTGGGAGCCTGCACCTGAGCGTCTTTACATTTCTAAAAAAAATTTTTGTCATATTTGCGTACATAAGCTTGAGGAATAATTTTTTAAAATTGGGAAAATTTAAGCCCAGTTTGTCCCACTTCTGAAGAATCACTGATTTGTAAAATATTTATCAGATTATCAATAGTGATCAGATGTAATAATTTGTCTATTTCTTAGTCGGAACCAAAGTCCCTGGAACCAAAGGCCGTTCTGTTCAAGAAGAAATACATGGATTCTGTGTTGGTGGTGAAGCAGGGCAGCTGGACGGTTTTCTTCATTGGAACAAGCAGCGGGCAGCTCATTATGGTCAGTGGTTGTGTTTCAGGAGCAGATATTATATCTCATCTCAGTGAGGATTTTCTTTGTGTTTATTTTAGGTTTCTGTGTTATTGAGTCTTCATGTTGTTCTGTCTAACCCTTGATTGTTGCCAGCCGCGTGTCCCTCCCTGATTTCCCTCTGGTTATTGAAAAGAGACAACAGAGGTTTGTTTGGGTCAGTGTGTTCTTTTCTCTGAACCAAATCTCTCAATTGCAGGTCAAAATAATCCATTGATTACATTATTTATCCCTGACAAAGGAGCATACTGTGGATTTCAGCTGATCCGTTTTAGTAGGCGTCTTTTATGTTTTGCATGAATGTCTTATAGAAGTTCATGATCAACTGGTGGATTTTATTTTTGTTTGCATTTGTTTTTATGTGTATTTAAATTCTCTGTACTTTTCCTGCTTTATTCACTGTCATCATTTTTAAGTACATTTCCATTGTGAAATGTAAGCTAAAATTTACATTGTCCAAATTTAAAAAATAAGACTCACTTTTAGCTATAAACATACTTTGTACAGACATGAGCAAAATTATTATAATTTGCTGGCAAGCTCCATTTATTGAGCCCAGATAAGTGAACAACACTGAAAATTGCCCAAATTATGGGTGTACTATAACTGAGCTAAAACTGTTAGTACATTCTAAAGGTCTGCTAATAGATGCAAATTCAGCTCATCTGTCGCTAGATAAGATCACAAAGTCAGTGTTGAACCACAGAAACAGAGATGCTTCCCTATATAGCATAAAGACACAAATCTAGAGGCCGCCCTCCCACAAACATGCCATTTAACATGAACCCATGATGACGCAGCTTACACGAGCATAGCTGGTCTTGTGTAACCAGCACATAATTACAGAGAGTAAAGCATAAATAACTAATTCAGAGGACTCCAAAGTACTTAATGGCACACATTCTCACACTGATGGTGGTGCTACATAACAGCCACAGCCAGAGGCGGTCCTAGCCAGTTTGGCTCCATGGGCGAAAAGCCCCCATCAGCGCCCTCAAGAAGTTTTTTAATGGTTGGAAGAGGCTGGACTGAACAGTACAGAGGCATTCATATGGACAGAGAATAAAGCTTCAGCACAAGACCAAAAGAAACCAGCGCCTACCACAGCAAGCGTAACCCAGCAGGAGTGCAGATACCAAAGAGAAATTCAATCTATCAAGTTGAATTATTTAGCTAATTTCAACAACAAGTGAAAATTTTAATGTGAAATGGTTTGACATAAAACCCCCCACAAAAATGGTAAATATCTATTCTGTTCTTGTCAGCTTCCTATGGACAAGAACAATAATCCAGCATGTCCAAAGGAGATCTACAGGGCCAGTGGTAATGATAACATTTTTTCAAAACTCCTTCTGGACCCAGTGGATCATAAACACATATATCTGCAGTTCAAAAAACAGGTAACCATTTTAATTGTTTTAGTTTTTTATGTTGCATGTACAAGACTGCATGTTGTTTCTAAATCTTTGGCTTTTGTTGTAGATTAAGCGTGTTCCAGTGTCAAACTGTAGTAACTATGAGAGAGTAGAGGACTGTTGTAAGGATCCATTCTGTGTCTGGTGTGGCTCTACTACCAATTCCATTATGGATTAGATTCCTCATCAATTCTCTTATCGATTCTAATTGAGTTGGGGCATAAGCTCTTTAATTCAAAAATACGCACCACATTGTATTTGACTGAAACAAAATTAAAGCTGACTTAAAACAGAAATCAGATGAAATCAGCCGTTTTTTTGCAGGCAAATGTGCATGTTTGCCTTTTCAGGAAGGATAGTTCAAGAATTATTTCAAGATATTCCAGATGTTATTTATTTTCTCCTGTGTAATTTTCCTTTATGAGCCCGCGTCACTCTGACACTCGTCCTCAACTATTAGATTAGATTAGAATATTAATGAATCACTCGTGTATTTCAGTAATACATTAGGTAGGTTAATGCTCCACAGACGGACATTTAACAGGTTTTAATACATAATATTTAACATTAGAATATTATAACAGACCAAAAATACATCGGTTTTAATGCAGAAATGTCTAAATTATCATCCATACTAAAATGAAAATCTGTAATTCTGTCAGTAATAGAAAAACTCCTATTGGTCTTTGCATCAAAGAAGACATGCAGAACTTGGCTAATATATAGTTTCCATGGTCACTGACATCATATTCATGCCTTAGAGATTTAATTGGCTTATTTTGTTCCATTAGGTTGTGCTGTAATAATCACTTCAGTCACCAACACTTTCACCTTATTATCCTCTGGTGGTAAATTTAATAACTGTTGAATGTTTTCAAATTCTCTACAGAATCTCACCTATGAAACACCTGAAGGGAAATCTGTCTGGAGAAACTGTGATGTGGATTTGAAAGTAGCCAATGAAACATTGTATTGCCCAGTCAGAATAAGATACGATCCAGACCCACAGTTTCCCACATTTATAACGAGGAGAACAGGAAACAACGTCCAAGTTATGATCCAGGTGATTTTGTTTGACCTTTAGAGCCTACATGTGATGAAGATTTCAGTTGTAATTAGTTTCTGTTCTCTTCAGTGTCTAGATTGGAACCTGGAGATGACAACAGAAGAGCTATCAGTGTGGGGCTATAAGGATGGCAAGCAATACCCCTGCATCATGAAGGGCAAAAACCAAACACATACTGGAGCAAGCTTTTTCATCTGCCAAATAGAAAACACAACCCATATCAAATTTTCCCAGTTAACGGTAATATTTTTAACCTACAATGTGCAATCTGAACATTTGTGTGGTGATACATTAAACACCACACACAGCGGTGCTGCTTGTAATTTGGCTTCAGCTATTAAATCTAAAGTTCAGTCTTTATGCTGACGCGGCTGTGATTCGTGCCTCTAAACGGCGGCCAAGCAAATAATTGTTAAAAGATACAATTTAATACAGTGTTGTCATTTTTTCCTCCAGATTAAATATGGACAGATGACAGTTCAGGTGGGGAATCCACCTCTGCTTGATCAGTACCTTCTGATTCTGCGCCTTCTGCTGGTTCCCTGTGGTACTGCAGGTACATTTGCTCAGAAAGTTTTCTTTCTAGATCAACACAAATCTCTTAAACTTTTATTCCATAGTATTTACATATAGGTCCATGAGTGTACGTATATATATATATATATTTATATATATATATTTTTATCTGTCCACTGTTTGTCTTCCAGTGCTGGTGATCATCTGTCAGTGCCTTGCTGTGAAGAACAAGCCCTGATCGTTGGCGTCTTTCTCCTCCTCAGAGCTCCAGCAAATACGTCATTTGTTAGATGTTGGAGTCATTGATATCTGATATGATATAGCTTCTTCCAATAATTACCTGTATGTTGAACAGTTGTCACTTGTAAGTGGAAAACCTTTTCCATGTTTTCATTTCTTGCGTATTCTTTGCCATGTGAAAAGTTAACAGCACAGCGTCTGAGTGATAGAAACAATTATTGTTCAGAATAATGGGGAAAACCGCAGCAGGTTAATGTGACTGAATAATCAGTTAGAGTGAAACATGGTGTTCATCTCCAGAGTTCTTGCTGCTGTGTGTTTGTTCAGTTTAATCAAAAGAAGTGAGAGGTGGAGTCTTTCTGTTCTGTAATTCTACTGTTCATGTCAAATCATCTTGATCAGAGATTGCATGTTGTATTATATAATATCTTTTCCAGCTTATTGCAATGAAATCTGAAAAGTGATCAAGGGCATAAATGATGATCCCGTTGAGTACAGATTGACAAATATTGCAAAACTCAAAAGGTTGATATGCATCTTAGATTCTTTAAAAATATATATATTTACTGCTTGTTGATATTTGGAGACGTATGTAACATATTTCAAAATCTATGGCAGAAATGAGTGATTGCACAAATATTCACCGCTTTCAAAGTGAGTGACCTGATTCCAGCCAAGTGGTGACAGTTGCCTCACAACAGTTGGCATGGAGATCAGGGGTGAGTGTATCAGTTAGGGGATGGATAGAAAAAAAGACATCTCAAAGGCTGTCAACCTTCCATTCTTTGATTTGTATTATTATGTGCCTGAATCAGACACAAAATCACAACCAGAGACCGTGAAGAAGAAGGAGAGTATAGACCCGGGAAGGTTTGCAAAGGACGAAGGTCAAATGAAATATCGAGAAGACAAACAGCCAAAGCGCAACAGCTGAACACTGGCTGCATGGAGGTGAATATTTATACGATCGCTTACTTCATCCAACATTTTTTATGTGTCAAAATCAGTTTTCACTTTAATATTTGAGTGTTTTCTTTTTCATTTTATCAATGTTTGATTATTAAAGGCAATAAAAGGCGGCGAACACATTTCATAGGCACTGTGTACGTGGGAAATTTTTGCTGTGCTTTCTGCAAGTCTTGTATTTTTATCTTGACCGACATTTATGGTTTGCTGAGGTGCGAGCGCCAGGCGATATGTGCATGCCTTCACCTATCAGCACATTCAGCAGCCATTATTTAGCTTGTGCTACATCTTGTTTGATTTGCATGTTAAGTGTTTTTCTAAAATAAAATCACTTTTGTTGTCCCATCTAATTTTAACTTCAGTTTTTGCTTCTTTTTGAAGAAATGTCTGAAAAATGTAATCCTGTGTGGCAACACATCACTGGACTAAAGAAGGCTCGGTGCACGTCTGCCACCTGCTGGCGGAAATGAGTACAGATTAAAGCTATAAGCAAGACTGAGTGAATAAATCTGCACTTGGAGGAACTATGAGGAAAATAAAATCTTTGCAGTTGAAAGTGTTTGTGTGTGCCATTAAAAACAACATTAATAATCTTCAATCAAACAGCCAAATCATTTTAAAAAATAGAAATTGCTCTTAAAAGAAAAAGCCCTCCCGGTTGCCCAGCGTTAGTACAGATACTCATCTATAGAGTTCATCCCAAAGAGAACTAGAGAACCCAAAACATGTTCTGCCAAGAAATCCCAAGATGAAGAAAAAGAAAACATAACTGCAGTGATTACAGGAGTTTTTATTAAATGAGCTGGTAGGTAAAAAAAAAAAAGCATCTGAGACCATTTGCAAAGACAAAATTAAAACTGAAGCGCAGGTGAAATGTGACGGCAGCAGAAGACCTGAAGCTTCAACATCTTGATCTCTCATCCTGCAGAAAGGAAGAAAGAAAAATCCATTTTGTGTTTTAAGAAATATTATTTTCAAGAGTTTGAAGCAGCTTGAACAGTGAAATGAGGCGCTAACTGTGACCGTTTACCTTGATGACATCAGCCAGCTCCTGCAGGACCGCTCCGTAGCGCTCCTCCATCCCCTTCAGGCTTTCTGGTTTTACCATCTGCTTCTGAATCCCGGGGCTTCCTGCCTCCATCACCATCCGAAGGAAATTATTCTCCTGAGGGATGAAAGAGAAACTCAAACTGCTAAAGAGAAACATTCGGTCATCCAGTTTCTTACCAATCATCAATTCAATCATGGACAATCTTATTCTGACCAGAACTTAACCCTTTATGACCCGAGTTTCAAATCTCCCCCTGGATAGTTTTGCTTACATTAATTGTGAGTAGTTCTTTAAATGTCCTGTGAGTTTTTGCCCATTTATCCATAACAACTGGAACTTTCAATATCCAGAAAGTTGTTTTTACAATTAAAAGAATGCCCCTCAGATTAATTTCACTTTCTGCTATTGGCTGGAAAGTTTAACGTCTCTCCTTTCAGAAACTGGTGAAATTTTTCAGACAGCACAAAGTGTGGTAGAATTACGGTACTGCAAATTTGGCTGGATTCGTTCTGCCTGGAAGGGTTAAAACAGGGAAAACCTCCTTCAAAACTCAATCAAGTACAAACCATGTGAACATATTTTAAGTGGGAATAAATGTAAGGGTGTCCTAATTTATTCTTGACAGAAATCCCTGCTCTCCTCTTCTCCTTCCAGTTCAGTGTCTGTACCTGAACCCTCAGCAGGAAGGTGAAGGCCAGTCCAGGTTTTCCAGCTCTCGCCGTTCTTCCGATCCTGCGTGACGACAGACGGCAGGACAAAACCGTCACTTTCTGACAGACAGGAAGAGAAGGGGCGGTTTGAAGGAGGAGGAGTCAGGGAGGCTGCTGACCTGTGAATGTAGGTCCTGATGTACTGCGGGGCGTCATAGTTGACCACACATTTGACGTCTTTGATGTCGATGCCTCTGGCAGCAGCGTCTGTGCTGATCAGCCTGCAGGAGGACAGATCAGGTTAACAGCAGAGCGGTCACACAGGCTGCAGCAGAGAGACAGAGACATCAGATTCAGGAAAAGTCGCCGTCGTTTCAGTGTTGCTGGGTGGATAGTAGTGATGTTAAATAGCCGTTTTGCTCTCAAACTCAACAGGGAGATGAAAGGACTCGACATTAACCTGTCAGAGAGCAGAGAGGTTCTAACCCTGGCCTGGCATTCAGCTCTCAGAACACATGGGACTGAATTGACAGCTATTTTTGTAAGCGACATTTGTTGTGAAATGCTGGCGTCGCAATAGAATAAACTAAATCGTCTCGCTCTCCGTTGCTGGAACGACTCCCATGTGAACGATCCAGTGTGCTTGGGACTCACAGCTGGATCTTCCCCTGTTCAAAGTCCTTCAGGGTGTTCTTCCTCTCACCGGGAGAGAGGCGTGACGAGAACTCGGCCGCCTGCACTCCACCAAACAGCTGCACCAAACGGTAGAGCCTGGAAAGCAGACGAGACGGATCAGACACTGAGGCGTGAGGCGAGGCAGTCCGTCCATCCGTCAGTCCGTCAGTTTGACCTGTGTGCCGTCTCTCTGGAGTTGGTGAAACAGAGGATGGGACGGAGCTTCAGATACAGGATGAAGTGAAGGATGAACAGGGGCTTCTTGTTCATCGTGCACGGAACATAAAACTCCTGCAGACAGGAAAGAGGAACCGTCTCAGAATTTCACCGTCCCGTTCCAGTTATCGGAGTGAAAAGGCGGCGTCTCACCGTGAGGCCCTGGGGGAAGTCGAAGCGGTCGTGTTTGTGGGCGGGGTCTGCTGCCGTCGCGCTGCCGGAGGGGCCGTGAACGGAGCTGAAGAGCTGCGGCTGGTGGAGGCCCAGCTGCTGCAGCTTCTCCGGGTCCTGGGTGAGTGTGGCGGAAAAGAGCAGCTTCTGGAGCGGCATCTGACCTGGAGACAGACTGAGACCAGGCGCAGCATTACTCAATTTACAGAATCCAAGTTTGCAACATTTAATTAATACACTCTAGAAAACATGTTTTCTCCTAAAACCCTTTTTGGATGAGAAATATGAATGAAAATAAACTGATAATGTCACAAAAAGTCAGAAGATCAGATTTCTCCAAATCAAATTAGAATAAAAACTTGAACGGATTGAGAAAAATGGATGACATTTTTGGATTCAGTCCTAATTCAGTTCTAAAATATATTTTTTGTAGCCAAGTGTGATCAGGTGGAAAGTGGAAACGATCTTAAAGATGAGACTGAAAATGTCAAGTAAGTTTCTTCTTCTCCTCCAAGCCTCTTCACTGAGCGGTCAGTCGAGTCCCGTAACAGAATGAATTACAGAACTCCCATCTGAACGGTAAAGACATTTTAAACAGGAATCTCTGCGGCTACTCTGAATAATTTGTGAGTGAACCTCAATCTGCAGCCTCCCTGAATGCTGCCATGCAGACAATCAGCTGGTATTTTTGGACCCACCTGGCTGCTGTGATGCATGCAGGCTCTGTTCTCCTGAACAGGGTTCTGGCCTCTGGTCCAGCCGCTGAGCAGTACACCGCCTTCAGCACCTGGCTGAGCCACGACTGGTGCATGCTGTCGATCATCCTGTCGGCCTCGTCGATTATCTGAGACGCAGAGAGAGAAACAGACGCAGCACGACGTCAGAAACCGAAGAGTTCTGCTCTACGCGGAGAGAATGCTGTGATTCTTTGGAACCAACCAGGAACCGGAGATGTTCCAGACTGAAGCCCGGGTTTTTACTGATGTGATCGACCAGTCGACCTGGAGTGACGACGACTATGTCTGCTGCACTGCACCTCACACTGCCTCTGAAACAGACAGAAAGTTGTTAGCTTTGGATTTGCAACACTGCTTTTAAAAAATGTGCACCATTATATATTTTCCAGGCACATATTTTATAGCACCAATCCAGAAGCTTTGCCAACTTCAGTTGTTTTCAAAATGCCGCACATACCAAACATGATAAAAGACGTTAGTTTTGTAATTAAACATCTTGAAATTGGGCCTCCGTCTCTTTAAGAAACTCCAATTTCTGTAACTACAAGAAGTCATCACAACATGGCTCCTCCATTAATCCTTCAACAATTTTTTTCCACCAGATGTTTGCTAATTGCTGCTGGCTAGTCTGAAGGATCTGAGTGTGGAAGGCACAGAGGAACCCTGTGAGGTGGAAGAAAACCACAGAGCTTGGACACTGCAGAGGAGGAGCTTTGTACTTGAAGGCGGGGCTAACACCAACTATCCGTTTTGGACAGCTGAATGGTTGCCATGAACATTAAAGGATTTCTCACAAGTGGATGAAAGAATCAAGGCAAAACTCCAGGCATGTTTTGATGAGAGATTAACATCATAACAAGATGGAGACTAAAAAAGTATGACTTTTACAGAACACTGCCCCTTTAAAGTTACACAGTTTGAAAACGGACATTATATTTAAACCAATAACTGAAGACAAGCTCGTAATTTGCCATCCTCACCGTTGCTCTGAAAGCGAAGCGCACTCTGCGGCAAACGACCTCTGACCCCCCAGCACGGCCACTTTCACAGGAGTTCCTTCGGCGTACGACGCAAACACTTTGTAGACCTGAACCAGACACACATCAACCTCAGAACACTGTGAGGGTTTAAAAACGTGCAGAAATGGTGAGAACGCTGCGACCTGCTGCGCCAGCTCTTTGGTTGGCAGTACGGCCAGAGCCCGGATCTCACACACCGTCCGCTCCATCAGAACCTGCCAGGAAACACACACGCGTCATTGGGAAAACTGCAACGGCGATGCTCGATCAAATACTGGCTGCTCACCTGAATGACAGGAATGACAAACGACAGAGTCTTCCCGCTGCCCGTGGGCGCAGAAACACAGAGATCTCTGGGTCTGTAGCCTCCTCGACCAATCAGAAGTCCGTGTTGGGCGCCCTCCAATATGGCCGGGATCACCTCTGCCTGCACTGAAAACAGATCACAGCAGTGTTATGACTTAAGACTGTGAACGATCAGCCACTTTTATTAAGTAAAACGGGGAGAAAAAGGAGAGAGCAGTAGAAAAGATGATGAGGGCTGAAAGATCTGCATCACCAGGTCTGACACTGCCTGATACTTGATCTAGGCCGTATTTGGTTAGATTGGAAGATTGTACTAAAGGTTGTACTTCTTAGAATATTTAGGAGGCATAAAAAGCAAAGGTTTGGGCTCATGTAAACATCAATAATGATGCACA